TGATAAAGGAGTTTCACTTGAAGAATGTAGACGTGAACTGGTAGGTTCGAATCATATTTCAGCGATTTTCTTTTTTCTTTTAGTTTTTAAATTGCCGTTCTCATAAAACTATTGCAAACCTTTTTGTTGTGTGTAACGTTACTACATGTACCAGTGTAGTGTTTTTAATAACTGCATGCCTTTATAGCGTGTATGTGCTATTAAAGCATATATGACGATTGCATAATGTCACAAAGAGAACCGTTGGAAGATACTGTAATAAAAAAATATTGTTGTGTATGAAACATCACATAGTTATTCTAAAACCAGGTGTAGTAAAACGATTTCAAATTAATTCTTGCGAGTAAAATTATAAAAAAAAATCACAACGTGGTGTTGATAAGGAATCGAACTAGATACCTTCAGATCGGTAGTCCGGCATCTATACCAATGCACCACACCTCACTGACGAGTGAAGTTAGCGAATTTATCGACATATTCGACAGATACCGGTCAGTGTTTATTCAAATGACCTTTATGAAAGTTTATGAAGTACCAGGTCTATATTTTTGGACAATACATGGTAAAACATATCCAATACATGATAAAACAATAAAAACAAAATTAATATCAATGTATAAGAAATGAACCATATCAAAAACATCATACCAAGGATACACAAGAAAGAGAACTTAATCTCTTATTTCATTGTGATCCTTAGATACTGATGGTTTTTACAAAAACAGACATGAAAATGACTATCGAGGAAAGACAATAGCTTATACATAAAACGTTCAAATTAAACTAAAAAAGAGAAGAAATTATGACTAGAGGATAGAAAATGAGTGTAACATATAATGCTTGTAAATGGCTATTCTAATTAAAAAATATTTTTTAAATGTTTTACCCAAAGCGTTTTATACTTAATTAAGCCAGTCGAAATTAATCAAATTATTAATTATAATTAGAAATTGTTTTTAATTGTTTATACTCACGTTTGTTAGCCAGTCGAATTAAGATTGGCATTTTAATGAAAATAGAAAGGAAAATGAAAAAAGATAGGAATTTACAACAAAATATAATTTTAAAGCACTTAAAATCTTACCATTTACGTTCACCAAACTCCACTCTATATATGACTATTTCAGAGTGTATACTTTGCATATATTTGTTTGATTAATTAGACTATGAGTGAAATATATGATATTTAATAACATAACTTGTCATGTTATACATAGCTTCCATTTCAATGCGTAGAAACAGTATAGCTGATGATGAAGGTGCCTGGTAGGTGTGAAAATTCCAGAAAACTGGTAAAATGACATCAATGACACAATAGAAAAGCTATTATTTGATACAAAAAAGAGGCGAGGTTATTAGGTTCGCGTTGCTTTAATTATATTATATCTATACACTTACTTGTGTCATGTGCCTATACAAAATGAAATATATTACCAGGTTGCTATGCAACTTAACACGATAACTTTAATTAAAGTTTAGGTTTTTACTAACAAGATACAAATAATGCGTGAAGTTATAAATGATTAATGACAATTTTAAAAACTACAATTCTTTTTATAATGTATTTTCGCTTTATCAATACTACTTTACTAGAAGAACAAAATTCTGGATATGATAATATAATGATGATATAAATGATAATACTGTAACATTCAGTATTTCATTCGGCGACAATTTGTCAATTGGCGAAATGTGCTGAAATACCGGCTTCACAAACATAACTTTGTTAGTACCTGCCTGAATTTATTCTTAAAGCAGCACGCCTCCTGATTTATGTTAATTTTCATAAATTTTTTGGAAATTTAAATGTAAAATATTAAGATGTGAACAAATAAAGTAATTTACATATTGGAACTGGCACTTACAATCGAAGGAAATTACCAACAAGAGGGCCATGATGGCCCTGAAGTCGCTCACCTGTATATAGGCCCCTGGAGCGGGGCCAGTTTAAACCCCAGGGCTTTTATTTGAACAAACTTGGTAGACACCCATTAGAAGATGTTTCATGCTAAACATCTAAGGTCTAGCTCGTTGGGTTTTGTACAAGAAGATTTTTTCAAGTTTTTTCTTTACACATATAGATAAAAACAATGACGCACCTGGGGAAGGGCCAGTTTTGACCCCAGGGCTTTTATTTGAACAATCTTTGTAGACACTTACTAGAAAATGTTTCATACTTAATATCTAAACTCTAGCTATTCCGGTTTTTTCAAAGAAGATTTTTAAGTTTTTGCTATACACATATAAGGAAAATCAATGTCCCCCGGGATGGGGCCGATTTTGACCTCAGGGCTTTTATTTGAACAAACTTTGTAGACACTCACTAGAAGATGCTTTGTGCTTAATATCTTAACTCTAGCTATTTGAGTTTTTTTAAAGAAGATTTTTTAAGTTTTTGTTATACACATATAAGGAAAATGAATGACCCCCGGGGCGAGGCCAATTTTGACCCCAGGGCTTTTATTTGAACAAACTTGGTAGACACTCACAAAAAAATTTTCATGCTTAGTATCTAAACTCTAGCTATTTGGTTTTTTTTTTCAAAAAAGATTTTTTAAGTTTTTGCTATACACATATAAGGAAAATCAATGACCCCCCGGGCGGGGCAAATTTTGATCCCAGGGCTCATATTTGAACAAACTTGGTAGACATCCATTAGAACATGTTTCATGCTAAATATCTTAGCTCTAGCTCTTTCAGTTCTTTAAAAGAAGATTTTTAAGTTTTTACTATATGCATATAGGGAAAATCAATGGCCCCCTGGGGCCGGGCCAATTTTGACCCCAGGGCTTTTATTTGAACAAACTTGGTAGACACCCATAAGAAGATGTTTCATGCTAAATATTTAAGCTCTAGCTCTTTGGGTTTTTTAAAAGAAGATTTTTAAAGTTTTTACTATATGTATATAGGGAAAATCAATGACCCCCTGGGGCGGGGCCAATTTTGACCCCAGGGCTTTTATTTGAACAAACTTGGTAGACACTCACTAGAAGATGTTTCATGCCAAATATCTAAGCTCTAGCTCTTTTGGTTTCTTAGAAGAAGATATTTGGTTGCCATCATGCAACCAGAGTTCTGCATGGAATTAAATTCTTTGAACAATTTTCAACCACCAAAGGAACATTCCTGTGAAGTTTGGATGAAATTGGCTTAGTGGTTTATGAGGAGATGTCATTTAAAGTAAAAGTTTACGGACGACGGACGGACGGACACCGGACGAAAAGCGATCACAAAAGCTCACCCTGTCACTTTGTGACAGGTGAGCTAAAAAGTCCTCAACATATGCAAAAATAGCCCTTACCGCGTTTAAAGGGACGCGCCAAATTGAATTCGTACCAGTTAAAACGGGAAAGAACATGTTTTACGGGAAAGTATAAAGATATTTATGTCAGTTTTGGGTTTTAACACATTTAAAAGTAAAATGAGTTATTAGATTAATTTAATTTACGGTAAGCCATATATTTTAGTAAAATTTACGAGTATCCATTCCATATATGACCACGGATATTAAGAGACAAACATTCTCAATTTAAGCACAGCACCTGCCAATGTTATCAAAGGGTGATTTTCATTCGGAGTATTTTAGACAGAAACTTTCTCATTGACACAAGTTTTAAAGTATTTACAAATAAGCCACCAGTAGATATCTTTTACATCTGTGCCCTTCAGTAATTTTGAACGTTCATGTTACATACGATATGCAAAACTTTAACCAGGGGATTGTCCAAGTCCACAAATGGCCATAATTCAGTCAAAATCTCTATTTCCTATTTCTATATCCCCCTTTTGTCTTCGAAAAGGCTGGGGACAAGTTTCTTACATATTTGGTTGCAAAATTGCTGCTCCGTGGGCTTTAGTGATATGTCCTGTTTTTATTTAAAATACTTTGTTTGTAACTGTAATGTATTATTTTTGTTTTCATGTTTTACAAATCATTCAGGTGAGAATTACAGGACTGCTGGTTATGTTATAACCTTGATCTTGGGGATTGCCACCTGGTTGTTGCCCTCTGTAGGTTATGATGGTGATCATTTGTGTCAATGATTAAAATTTTCAGTATTTAAAAAGTAAGACTCAAAATGGTTGACTTTTAATGTTTGACCTCTGTGTGACTTTTACCTTGGGGTAGCTACCTGAATATTGAGCTCCACTCATGTCATTATGGTGAACATTTTGAAATATTTTCAATAGTTTAAAAGCGATTTTGTTATGGAGCAGACAGGAAAATATGGACTTTATCATTTGACCTTTAAGTGTGACCTTGACCTTGGGGGTAGCAACCTACATGTAGATTTTGAGTTCAGCAGATTGTGTCATGGAAAGGATTATTTGTGCCAAGTAATTTTAAAACCTTTGAAGAGCGGACATGAAAAATAACATTGGACCTTTGAGTGTGACCCTGTACTTGAGGGTAGTGACTTGATTGATGTGCTCTGCACATGGTGCCATAGTGGTGATCATTTCTGCCTAGTTCTCTTAAAAACATTGCAGCGATTTAAATGTTATAGAGCGGACACGTAAACTTTTTAACACTGACCGTAAGTGGACCTTGACCCTGGGGGTAGCAACTCAATTATTTCGCTCTGCATATTGTCTCATAATGGTGATTACTTGTGCCAATTTATTTCAAAATTCTTTCAGCAGTGTAAAAGCTATGGAGCAAACACAAAAGTGTTATAGACAGACTGACAGATGAAGGCAATTCCTATAATCCCCTCCCCATTTTTCAGAAGGGAATTAATTACCAGATAAACAAACATGCTACATATTTATGCTCTAAGACTGTTAAGTGGCTCTTGATCTTTTGTTTTTGTTACATTCCTAAAAGTCAACCACTGAGCGTCTTGTACTTTTTAATGTTCTTTAAAGTGCATTTATTAAGTTCTTAATATATGCAATTATCTAACAAATATGGTTCATTCTGATTTAGATTCTTGATCTCTTTTCGTTATGAAAATACTTTTAGAACAGCAAATTTCACTACAAATAAAACACAGCAATAAATAAACACTTCATTTTAATGTTGTAGACAATGAACATGCATACAAAAAGTGATTGAATATAAAATGTTATTGTATGTGAACTACATCACAAGCATTCATTATAAACCTTGGCATTTTTTATATCCAATTTTCAATAATTCAATTTTGTCTAAATATTTGAAGCATTCATTTCTCTGTAAAGTTTGATATAAGAATAAATAACTTGTTCAAGCTAGCACATTTTAGCACACTTTTTCTTTTTATAAATCATTAAATTTTAACCACTTGAGGCTCAAAACATAATGAAATTTTCACTTTATACTTTAACTTAAGGTATACAATGCATTTATACCACAAAAACGATTTTTTTCTGCATGAATCTACAAGTATTAATCTATACTATTAACAATTACATACTCTGACTCAACATATTCTCCTTGTGAACATTTATATATAATATAATAATTGTCATCTGAGAAAATATTCTTGCCATGAACACTAGTTTCAAGCCAAAATGTACATGTAAGCACTATTTCTGAGAAAAGTTATTCACTTTAGAAATTAATATACAAAATTATAGAACAGTTTAATAGGAAGAATTTGTTCCAATAAGTCATGTAACACAAAAGATTTCGTCCTTTTAAAGATAACTTATCAACTGTTCAAACTTCAGAATTAACTTATTTGAAAACCAGTCTGAATGTATTTGGTAGTGGGGCGATCAGTCTATGCTTCCCCAGCTGCTTCTTTAGCCTTCTTTTCAGCCTTTCGTTTGGCTTTTAACTTTTCTTGATATTTAGTGACATCTATGTTTTCTAGAACCTTTGTGATAATGCCGTAACCGAGGGTTCGCTTACCATCTCGCAATGTGAATCTGTCGCCCAATACCAACGCCATTTTAAAACCGAGGGTAAAATGAACTTTTGTATCTTCGCCTGGCATAATCATCTCACGATCTGGTATTTCTATACTAGCGGAAATTGAAAAACTCCTATTATACATCACGCAAGAAAAATAAGGCATAATCGGCTTATCTCTGCCACCTTCGTCTTTCTTCAGCAAGTATACTTGTGCTTCTACTTTATTATGTAAATCAAAAAGACCAGGTTTTGCAAGAACCATACCTCTACGAATATCATCTTTTTTGAGTCCACGTAAAAGACATCCCATCTGATCGCCAGCCTCTCCACGATCTAAAATTTGTCGGAACATTTCAATTCCGGTTACAATAGTTTTAAGCTTTTTGTCATACCCAACTACCTCTGCTTCATCACCCTTTTTAATAATTCCTTGATCCAACTTCCCTGTCACCACAACACCACGGCCAGTAATCACCATACAACTTTCTATTGGCAAGCTGAACGGTTTGTCCAAGTCTCTTTCTGGCTGTGGTATGTACTCATCAACATATTTCAATAGCTCCTTTACCTTTGCACTGCCTATCTCGGGATCTTCACCATTCAGTGCTTTCAGAGCTGATCCGCTTACTACAGGGGTATTTTCACCGTCAAAGCCAAGTTCAGACAGCAAGTCGCGTACTTCCATTTCAACAAGGTCAATCATTTCCGAATCTGCGGCATCTGCTTTATTTATAAACACAACAAGCTTTTGAATACCAATCTGTTTAGCAAGAATAAGATGTTCACGTGTCTGTGGCATGGTACCATCTGTAGCAGCAACGACCAAAATGCAACCATCCATCTGAGCAGCACCTGCAACATGAGCATATACCTATATTAGTGGATGAAATAATAAACAGGATTGAAAAAAAGAAAGATAAACATACACTGTCATAATGATTCTTTTAATGCTCACCAGAATGATGATTGCAAGTATGTCAATCACATCTATACAGCATACTGCTCTATTAGGTAAAATTTAAAATTACCAATGAAGTTCAAGGTTAAACAATGATTATGTTAAGGCATGGCTTAAAAAAATAAGCTTTGAAGGCCAAAGTCACATTAAATTTGATTTAATGTGCTGCTGAATGGAAAACTTATGCTTGATGGATAACTTGCTTAAGCAGCGTTGTTTATATTGGTGTTGACGTTTAAAATTGACCATCATCTTGAAGAATTTTATCTTCTGTATGGACAAAAGGATTCTGTGAAAATATTGGAAATGCCTAAATGAAATAAAATACATGGTGATTTTGACGGTACATGTGCAGATTTTTTCCAGCGAACATTATTATGTATTATCATCGACGTTGAAATACGATTTTTTTTTCAAAACGGTTTACATCAAGTTTTTTGATATACATGATCAGTTCAGTACATGTTCTGGGAATGACAAATATACATTTTATTTGGATTTTACAGGTGTTTTGTGCACCACACCCAAAGTGTCTGTGCTTGTACATATTCAACTAAAAAAATCAAAATATATATTATCCTTGTTCATGTCTAGGATTTCCTGATATTTATGGACAGTCTGTAGATTTAAGGACCATCTGTAATTTTATTGATTTTTTTTAATAAAACTGTAAATTTACAGATATAAAGTACAAAAATAGTTAAATTATTCTAAAATTAAATTGTATTAAAATTAAAGCTAAAAAAGAATAAGGTTACTTATTATATTACGATTAAATGTAGTAGTATGGTAAGATTCAGAAGAATTTTCACTTTTAACAAAAATTTCAGTCATCATCTCAGGCAGTCGGTGTGTGACTTGGAAAGTATACATGCACATGACCATGCCCACTTTTTTCTATAGCCATGTACATGTATACTATCCAGGGATTTCCCCAGGATTTTTTTTAAGCGCTACATTCTTTTTTGAATTAGACGGGGTGGGTGCGGGAGGGGGTCTTGACCCCCATACCGCGTGTTGAAAAAAATTTGCCATTTTCGATGTCAATATACTGCTGTGGGCTGTTTTAAAACAAATAATGAAAGCTTTTCACTTGATAAACATTTTCTTAATTTTTATTATTTACTCTTTCCATTTCCAACAATTCAAATAAATAAACAATTATATATAAACACAAGTTCACAACATGTGATCAACATTTATATGTATGTGTGTGTCCCATTTAAATGAGTATATTTCAGTTGTTTTTTCTTCATTAACATCATTAAAAGTGGGCATTTTTTCTTCATTAACATCATTAAAAGTGGGCCTGTCTTCTAGGTTTGTTGTCCTTCCATGCATTGACTGCCTTCTCAAAGTTGAAAGATTCTAATGGGGATCCTTGAAGGGAGACGGCAAGAAGATAGTTTAGAACTTTAACAGAGAGACAATTCCTGTTTTCAGTCTTAACTCTCTTCAGGCAGCTGAATCCTTGCTCACAATCTGAAATTAATAAATGAAAGTAATCATTTATGTTAACCTCATGTTTTTTTTTATATTGTTTGTTTGCTGTGAATTTTTGAAAATTTAAAACTTCCAGCCTGTTTAAACTTAACAAGTAAAAAAAAATTATATTTGAAATGTAGCAAAGTGTTACACATCTGCAACTGTCTGGAATTTCATTAATGTTCAAGAATGAATGAATTTAATAATAATTACCTGCAGTAGAGGTTGGGAGGAGGAGACCCACAGCAGCAATTCTGTAAAGAGCTGGATGACTGGTAGAAAGGTTGCCAGTAATCCAGGTCATGGTCTGGTCGGCTGACTGATCAGTCCCCTCTAGACTGGCACGTACCTGGTGCCAGTGGCTGTGCACTGCTCCATATCTACACCAAAGTGCTTGGCCAGCTCCTGTATGTCCTGACAAACCAATGCTAAGGGGTAGGACAGTAGATTGCACTTCACAAAGCTGTCCATGAACAGGCTCAATTAAAGAGGGTCTGCAATATTAATATTTTTTTCATTTTGGGGATTCAGTGAACAGAAACAAATTACAAGATATTTTTAGTTACAAAGGAAAATGACCAATTGGCTGTCACTAAGTGGGATTGTTGATGTAAAGTTTTTGTTGTTGTTTTCACTCAATTGCAAGTTGATAATGAACAGTCGTAAATGTTTTCAATGTTAAAGTAGCCATCAACCAAATTTATTTCTGAATATCTATGCAGTTTAATCCAAGTAAAATACGATTATCATGTATAAGTAAAATGATCCTGAGACAGTTTCAACGACATTGCTCACAAAAAAAACTCTTAAAATTGATAGTGAACTAGGCTTCCCTTATTCATGTTAGACATATTATTTTTTGACATCTTAAATAATACTACAGCACTGCTTAGACGGAACGATCATTAAAAAGTAAAAGATCAAATTGAACATTACACTTATATCAAGACAACCCATTCATCCCTAAATATCAAACTGTTATATTGCATGTCAATTTATCAAAACAATAAAAGTTATTACACCTACCTGAAACATGTAAATATCACACATGCCGCGGTTAAATTGCAGTACACCCATCTCAATACACGGTAATTGACAACACCTGAAAGTGCAGTCGTCTGCAGACATCGATGACAGGTGTCTGTGACGTCACACAGTCTAAGGCAATCAGTGTATCGGGTCGTGTATACGCCTCGGGTAATAATCTACACAGGACATGTATATTGGCTTGTTTATTTGGCTAATTGTGGTTAACTTATAGACACAATAGAAAGGAATATCGGTCATTTTTTAAAGCGCTATGATAATTTTAAGCGCATCGGGATTTCTTGTTCTGAAATTTTAGCGCATCGGCGCCGATGCGCTAAAAGCGCTTGTGGAATTCCCTGCTATCCAAACCATGCCACGCACTGCCTGTGGTCATCAATGAATAATAAACTTACCCATTTATTTATCATCTAAATACTTTAATAGTAATGTAATAATAAAAATAAGAATGGGGAGGAACTGTCTGCTTATTTGTAAATATGCAGACTGTTCTCCCCCAAAATAGGGAGAGAACCGTCAGGGAGGAAACGTCAGGGAAGGAAATGGAATGGAGAGAATAGTTTGACTACCCCGTAAATTTCTGGACTGAAAAATCTTAAATTGTTTAGACTATCCATAAATTTGCAGACAGTCCATAAATATCATGAAATCCTAGACCTGTTGTTAAGACCCTGTGGTCTAATTCACGGAATAGCCACCCTAATATGCCATACCTGTTATCATATTCTTTATGTAATCATGATGCCCTGGACAGTCCACATGACCATAATGGCGGTTCTCTGTTTCATAATCTATGACTGCAGCATTAATTGTAATTCCCCTGGCTCTCTCATCAGGAGACCTATCAATATCATCATACTTCATAAATTTGGCCATTTTATCGTCCGACAGCACACGAGTGATTGCAGCCGTCAAGGTCGTTTTTCCATGATCGACATGTCCGATCGTACCGATGTTCATGTGTGGTTTATCGCGTTTAAACGTTGCCTTTCCTCCAGCAGTCGGTCCAGGCTTTTGGAACATTGATGCAGATATGCATATATGTCGACGGCATCCATATTTGTAAATGTCGTTCCTTAACTTGCATGGAAATGATGGGTTTTTGGTAAAAAGAATTTTGCGAAATACGTGAGCCGCCATTTTGCTAGCACATGTAAGCGGTGTAACGTTAGTTATTGCAGCTACATTGAAATCGCACAGAGTATAGGCATCAAAACACTAATTTTTCTCGCCCCTGTATTTGATTCATCTCCGTATGCAGCATGCCTCAAACAAAATCGAAACATTCATAAGAAAAATAATTATATGGATAACAATAATGAAATACAGTTGTTAAGGCAGTGGAGGATTTAAGGGTACAGCTGATAGCTTATCAACAGTTTCTTTTTTATATCAAACAATTAAATACCAATTAAAAAAGTGGTATTTTCTCCATCTACAGTTAATTTCGTTTTCGTGTTGTTTTTTTTTAAATTTTCTTTGTGAGTTTTTCTTACTGTAACCAGAACTAGTAATCTAGAATTTTACGTATTACTGTGTTTTTCAAGTCGTTAGAAAAATATAAACAAACAAGATATTGGTCAACGGCAGGTAAAACAAAAAAAATATTTACATGTTTTGGTGCATGAATCATTTTCTTATCATTTCTAACAAACAGTTGCCTATAAAGCATATATTGTCATTGAATATAATTAAAAATAATCAGCAAGTGTTTTTGTCAGTAATGGATTTTACATGTCTATGTAGTGAGTATGGTCTCAAAATGTATTTAATCAGTCAAATCGCTGTCACAAGTTAATTAACACTTACAGTTGAGTTCACACTAAACTTCCCACCCTTGTGCACTTCTAGTGCACTAGAGCTGAACTAGAAGTGCACTAGAAGTGCACTTCTAGTGCACTAGACCATATGACCAGGCTGGCCAGGGAAGGTGACACCTAAATGGTTTATTGGATAATTGTATATCAAGTGGGGGGGGGGCATCCATTGTTACGCTGCTGTATGAAAAAAAAAAATGGGAAAATATATATATGGCCTATTCATGAATATAAATAAGTAAATTTTAAAATCAGCAGTTTTAACATTTTAGGTGATTATCATGTTGAAGCTTAAAATTAAAATGTTTTTTTTTTCATTTATTGTAATCATATTTTTATTAACCAGTATTTAACTGTAAGTGAAAAATAATACCCCTTAAAATCAAATTTATAGAATTAATAAGGTTAAATTTAAATATGCTCCGTAATGGATAATTAAATAAGTGTTTTTAAAGCTTTTTAAATGGCCATATATTTCAATTTTTCTAGTGTACAAATGGTATAAATCAATGTGATAATTCTGGCCCAATTAATTTAGTTTGTTACATCATAAACTTTTTTTCATAAGCTCAAACAAATCAAGGAAAGGTTATATTTAAGCTAAAATATCTTTTCTATAATATATAACTTAGAGACAATTCATCATGTTCAATATTGAAAGAGAATATTAATACATTGATTTTAAAACATCAATATACTGTGATAATTTAGTATTCAACTGTGTAATGCTTGCATATGTTTATGCAAATAATTTAAATATTATCCATAAAATAAATAAATTTGATATCTTTATTCATTATTTCAATATTAAAAATTTAATGTATAAAGGGAATACTTTTATTGAAGAGGAATATCTCAAGTCATGCTGTGTATTGGTATTTTCTGAGAGGGACTGTTTTCAATATACCACTCTCCTGCTGATAAGAGGGCCTCAGGGTAAATAAGAAAGAACAGTCAATTTTGCAGATTTATAAGAATGCATTGAAATTCCCTGGTTTTCTCAAAATGCATGTTAGACATAAGCCTGGGATTCATCAGGCGTTGGCACTCAGTAAATGACCATAATTTTTGTATAATCAAATATACAAAAAAAAACATAAAGGCATAAATGCATAATAGATATTATCAGAGACATAGATAGATGTTATCTATGCCTCTGATATTATTGTCTCTAAAGCGGAATTTTCTATATGTATCCATTTATCCACATTTCTTGCCATTCTGCATAATAATATCACGGATTTACATTACTATATATACTATTAATATAAATCCGTGATAATATATAACTTAAGAGGCAATTCCTCATGTTCAAGATTGAAAGAGAATATTAATTCATTGATTTTAAAACATTTTATAGACTGTGATATTATGTTTTTCAACCATAAAATGCTTGCATACTTTTTAAAGATATACATAATTAAAATTTTTCTATAAAATAAATAAAATTGATAACTTTATTCAAGATTTCTACATTAAAAATGTAATGTATAAAGGGAATGTTTTTATACAAGAGGAAAGTCTCGAGTCATGCTGTGTATTGGTATTCTTTTGAGAGCGACTGTTTTCATTACACTGGTCTCCTGCTGATAAGAGGGCCTCAGGGTAAATAACAAAAATGCAAATGTATGCAATATTTATTGAAAATTTCCTTTTTTTCCCCAAAATACATGTAAGTCATCGATAAATGACTATAATTTTTTGTATAATCAAATGTAAAAAATAATCTAATGTCATAAACGCATGTTCGATATTATTGTCATTTATTGTCTTTGAAGTGAAATTTTCTAATCTTATTATAAAAAACTGGTTTAAAACCAATATTAGTGTTAACTATTCTACAAAGACTTTGTATCAATATTTTTTCACATTTCTTACAATTCTGCATTAAAATTTGCAGCATCTTTTAGTTTTTGAACTGGGAAATGTTATTTTTTTCTATTATAGATTTGACAAATTTGCCTTGTCAGTTTTTACGCATTTAGAAGATAATATATTTTAAAGAAAATATTATTTAAATACATGATTATAAAACTTTTGCAACTTCCTTTTCACTTTAATGCAGATCTGTTTTTGTTTTTTGTTTTTTTTTTTCCTGTTTTTTTTTTAATATCATACATGAGCAGAAAACAGTTACAGGAGATTAAAGTGTCAAAAGTCATGCTGTGTATAGGGGGAACTCGTGTATAGGTGTTTTGATATAGTACCCTGCTGATAAGAGAGCCCCTCAGGGTAAATAACATAAGCCAGATTAGGTGATGTAAATTCTGTATTCTCTGGATGTTGGTGCAAATAAATTTCATTACAAATATAGTACAAAAAGAAAAATGAATATTTTTGTAATTTATAATAAACTCGTAAAATTAATCATATTGCATAATAATGTTACAATGCATGAAAAAAAAATGAAAAAAAATTGGTGTCGTCTCAAAAAATGGAATTGACAGATTTTCTAATCTTTTTGTTAATATCCATGTCAGTTTAAGTATACTAGTATCCCACAGGTACATATCAATACTTAATCCACACATATCAATACATACCACCATTATATATAAATATTTATTTTCAGAATAATATATATCATTTATATTAATCTTAGGTAAATCTCAGTTTGAGAAGGTAAGAGAGATCATAAATGAAATAAAATTGACAAAATTTAGGCCATTTATAAACATATTAATTCTTTAATGTATTAAAGGCTATTAATGCTTAAAATCATTACCTTTAACTAAAACAACCATAAGTTAAGATCAAAAATAACTAATACTACGGTATAATCCCCCTCCCCCCCCCCCCCCCCCCCAAAAAAAAAGAACTGACTTAATTTTGTTTGATTAGCATTTCAATGTTTCATATTTCATTAACAGATTATAATAAAATAGAATCATATTAAATATCAATTAAGTTTGTTTATTTATGCACTTATCAACATTAAAGTTATAATTATTTATATTTAAATTACTTATTCTAACAATTAAATTTTAAAGTACAAAATCAGTAAAATTAATGACTTTGAAATTTATTGTTCTAATATTTTACGCCATATTTTACAAAATCCAATAATCACAATTTCAAATTTTTATTGAAAAACTATTAAACAGATATCTATATTTTCTATCTTTTTGTAAAAGTCAAATTGCTATTCAGTGAAATAAAAGGTAACTGCTTAATACATATAATAGGTCTGGTGCACTACAAAGTGCACTTATGAAGTGCACTAGTAGTGCACTACTAGTGCACTTTGTAGTGCACTAGTAGTGCACATCTAGTGCACTCCTAGTGCACTTTGTGTAACCTTTAGTGTGAACTCAACTGTAAGGTTTTTAAAATTTAAGTTTAGATCTACCACAGCTTTATACCATAAATTATTTTCCTTTATTTTGGAATTCCAAGAACTGTTGTAAAATTTCATGAAATATTGGAGCGTCTATTGTATTCCCCTTTTTTACAAGTAGAAAAGTTTTCATGTAAAAAATTTTCATTTCAATTTTCCCTGAACAAGTTTTCAGGACATGTACTTTATGAATGATATAAAAAGATTGCTTTGAGATTTTTCTCATTGACCTCACTTTACCATATCCCCTACACCCAAGCTATCCGTTACTAACCAAATTATAGACAATAAACAAACAACGGATTAATTCTAGAATGTATAACAATATGCTAAAAATCACAATAGTTTCTTTGGTTCCCGTGTGGGCCCGTTTTTTCACACATAACGTATCCCCCCTCCTCCTTTCGCCGCCCTAATGACCTCTCCCGGTTTTGGTTTGGTGCCTTCTGGGTGCCCTACTGTGATAGCTTGGGTGTGTCGGGGGCTACGTCCTGTGAAAGTTGCCTTTGCCTTGTTGATCTTTATCCTCGCCTTTTTACAGGGACAGTCTTTTGTCTACTGAAAGGTAATCATTTGATTCTCACGAATATCTGTAAGCGCAATTTATCTCCTTATAGCTATTCTATACTGCCTAAACAACAGTTTACTGTATGACAGCAATGAGCAATACTATCTATCTTCCACTATTGTCAAACCCCTCGCGGGAAAGTAGACCTGCCTGCGCATCAAAATCGCAAGAAAGTTAAAAAGAGTTGTTTAAAAAGAGGATAAAAGAATATTAAATGTGTAAAAAATGGGGCTGGAAAACTTGGGTGAGACATGTTCAATGCAAGCTATGGTTGCACTGAATTGCTCTGGGGTATGGAGTAGGGCTACTGCAGGGGGGTAGGTGGTTCCTTTGGTATACTGTCCTAGGAAAGAAAGAGAATTTATATTGGTCTGAAGTTGCTGTGAGTAACCTATAACACAGGGGATGGCCATTGCGTGATGGTCGGGAGAGGGGTGTCACATATTCTTCTATGGGGATAGCAACCAGACCTTGGCGAATCTTATAGAAAAGGGATAACCTAGCATTAAATTTTATACGTCTTAGTTCCAGTTAACCTTCATGTTTATGCATAGGAATCCTTTGGTTTGCTTCCTTGGGTGTCCTGTTTATGTGGGCATCCCATGTAAGGTTTTCTGATATATCCATGCCTAGGTATTTAGGTGAGGTAACCCGATTCTAACTGATTCCAATTGGACTCCATGAAGGTAGTGATGTGTTGGGATGGGAAGTTTCCTTTTTGTGACGTGGCTAACTTGACATTTTGAGGGGTTAAAGTCTATATCCCACCCCAACTCCCACTTTTCTAACCGATTAAAGTCATTTTGGAGGGTGACTAGTTGGTTTGCAGATGTCAGAGCAATTTATATTGCAGTATCGTCTACAAACAAGCGGAACTGGGAATTTATGTTTTATGGGGATCATTTATTTACGCGAGAAACAGGAGGGGTCCTAGAACGGAGCCTTTGGGGGACACTTGAGGATACTGAGATGGGGTTAGAGCAGCTGCCATTTAGCACAACAGACTGCAGCCTATTATCTAGAAAACTTTTGAACCACCTTAAGGTTGGACCTCTGATTCCATAGTCATGAATTTTCAGCAGTACTTTCTCATGACTGACCTTCTATCTAGAAAAAAAACTGTGTCCGTGTCCTTTTTCTTTCTATCCTATTTTTATTTCTCTTTATTCTTTTTCTTGCACACCGTTAAAGAAACGTCAAGTTTAACGGTTTAACGTACAGATGTAGATTTAGACTTGTTTTTTTCTCATATACTGAGGTGACCAGGTCATTTACTAGCATAACAAGTTGCGTAACACATGCCATTTTTTCCCTTGGGGTGGTAATGGATGTTATGATCGATGAAGTTTTTAACAAAGGAAGAGGAAACTATGTGTTCAAAATAGGCTCGCATAATTTAATAGCGAGCTCGACGAGCTGGCCCGAAGGGTCTGCTCGCAAAGCGAGCTTTACGGTAACCAAATGACAATTTTAAAACGGAAAACGTAAAATAAAAATGAACGATTATTTAAAACTATATATATCTTACGGTAAAAGAAAATCGAGCTCGCTTTGAGGCTTTGCCTTTTTCATACATATTATTCATATAATTTTATCCAACTAAATCAATAAATTTGGTAATGAACTATCCTCTATAAACACGATGACCTTTAATGTGTTAGGCTTGCATATCATTATCGTACAGAAAAAAATCAGGTTTTAGCTTTTGTGAAAATAGACTAGACTGACCTAAGAGTCCCTATGAAAATAGAGTAATTTCCCTTTGACTATAACCCGCTTTAGCAAGAATATTATAAACTTACAGATTGCCTGTGCACCGTCTAATTGTTTTAATTACTTCTTGACCTTTTTGATTGGTTAATTTTTAAAGCGTAACCAATCGGACAACGTTTTACATCTGTCACTGGCCCGGAATAAACAAAATAGAATTTGGTGTTCGAACTTTTACTAATTAGATCCAGTATCTTCTACATTTCGCTATGTCTATAACTACTGGGTCAGGAATTCCACCTAAAACATGGCAACCAGCAAACGTAGTACTCGAAACAACGTAGGTCAAAGTGCATTTTCAGAAAAAGGGGGAAAAACCCGGGAGTCTGTACCAAAGTGAAAATAAACTCGTGAATAAAGTTTCCTTTTAAAAGGAAAGGCTTGCACAGTTGTGCCTTCATCCCAATGGGCAGCACGAAATACCCAAATATACCCAAATACACCCAAATATACCCAAATATTGCCCAAATATACCCAAATATTGCCTAAATATACCCAAATATTGTCCAATTATACTAAAAATAAATGTTTTATACTAAAAAAGTGCTGTTTTAATCATGAATACAATATACACTTTCACTAAGATATAATCAAACATACCCAAATATACATTTTCCTATCATTGTGTTTTGAACGAAGATACAGTATATGTACTCCATTAAAGCTTTTTTTTTTAATAACATGGACTTCTTCCTCTATTATGATATGAAATTTCAACAAAATTACACCTTAAAAATGTAAGTGTAGACAACAAATATCATATCTTGAATTAAAATTGCATTCATAAAGAAGCGATATTGTAGATAAGCAAATGTCACAACTTTATTTTCTTACAACATCTTAACTGCCCATTTCAACGGAATGAATGAAAGTTATAGCAGGCTTAGTCATGTCATTTTATAAATATTTATTTATTTCTCATTATAATCTATATTTTATACAAACAAAAATAAATATTGCTATATTTGGGTATATTTGGGCAATATTTGGGTATATTTGGGTGTATTTGGGTATATTTGGGTATTTCGTGCCGCCGGTTCCCAACCCTTTAAAATTGTTCTTTTTTGGGGGGGGGGGGTTTCAATTTATTATCACCTTTTTTTTTTTTTTTTTTGAATTACGGTATTTGTATATCATAAAGGGTTTATTTAGTTTTTGTTTGTTTGTTGTTTTTTTTTTTGGAAAACCGAATATTTTTTTGTCAAAACGATTTAGATCTATTCTCTATTGTATAAAACTAATAAAGAAAATGATCAATCGTAAAAATATTAAAGTGATACTGAAGGAAAACAAGTGTGCACATCTTATTTCCCCTTTTTCGCAGCGGAATCATTCCTTTGCTTAATAGACAAGTAAATGCTCTAAAATACGTGGTACCAATTAATAAACATGTATATGATACTTGGATCAGCGCGTGGCAAGGTTAATGATATGCATGGGCTATTTTTAGATTACCTCACCAAGAAGTTGAATTGCGTTCAGTAGATCTAAATATAACTCTATCATGCGTGATTTGGTAAGACCACCTAATACTACAGTCACCATTCTCTATTGTATAAAACTAATACAGACAAAAAACAATTATAAAAGAAACTCACTTTTGCGTGTTGAAAAACAAATGAAACAGAACAATTTCGTTTATAATTTATTACGGTTTAAACCGATAAATCAAGTAAAAATAGAAATCCTATTTATATACACAAACTGGGATTACCGAAGTAACTAAAATAGCTTAGATTTCCATAATATTACTCCGCAGTATGTCGGAATCGCCCGAATTGTCACGATTGCAATCGGAACTACATGGGCTATTATCATTAATCCGAAGACTGACGGAAAAGCCCGAAAAGTTGCGATTGGCACGATTGCAGCTGGTTTCCCGTTCAATCATGCACCAACAGATGTAAGCAGGAAACCACCTAACCGGAACAAGTTTTCCAGATGAAATGGCTTGCAGCCAAAAAGATGTCTTGCAGCCAAAAAGATGTCTTACTTTTAATGTTCTATTTTAAAAATAAATGACATAGATATTTGATCTATCTCTGGATACTGCCAACCCCTCTTACGAGTGTTACAGATGTAAGAAGACATTTTTTGAATAGCTCTGCTGGGGTAGAGTCGTATGATGTTGTCTTTACAAACAATTATCACTTTTCAAGTTACTTGTTTAACATTTACTGTAGAGGTGCCTTTTCTTTACAATGTTAACACCTTCCTTTATAAAGATAATGCATCTCTAAAAGCGCTATATATTAAAAAAGTAACATGAGTAGTACTTGCTATATTGTTCAAATTCTCCTCAAATTATTTCAATCTAAATCTTTATAATAGCCTTCGATCTGAAGCTAACACTGTTCTAAAAATAGATTTTACCTAATCACCACTACATCACCTGTACTGACTTTCGGACAAGGGATTAAGGAGTACACATTATACATGATGTTAATCAGCGTATATTTACTGTGTTTACATGCAATATTTCAAGAAATTGTAGAATGCAAACAAGTTGGAAATGGAATTTAGTGTGAAAAGATAAGGGACAACTACACACTTTACTTTTTTAAAGTTAAATTTAAACGTGTGTCACAATCTGCTCTGGCCTCTATATACATCTTTACACCTTGTCAATAAAACAAAGTTTAAAAAATGCACCAGTAATTGGCGATGATTTTAACAACAAATATTTTGTGTGAGACATAAAATAAAAAACAAATGTATTTTATTGTCTATACGTAAATAGTGTATTGTAAATCACGGACCTCAATTGTCATATACATGCAAGCATGCATGTACGTATACATTATTTCTGATAAAATCCCTGTACTAGAATCGTCATTTTTTATTAGCTCACCTGTCACAAAGTGACAGGGTGAGCTTTTGTGATCGCTTTTCGTCCGTCCTTCGTCCGTCCGTCCGTCCGTAAACTTTTACTTTAAATGACATCTCCTCATAAACCACTAAGCCAATTTCATCCAAACTTCACAGGAATGTTCCTTTGGTGGTCACCTTTAAAAATTGTTCAAAGAATTTAATTCCATGCAGAACTAGATGGTTGCCATGGCAACCGAAAGAAAAAACTTTAAATATCTTCTTTTAAAAAACCATAAGAGCTAGAGCTTAGATATTTGGCATGAAACATCTTCTAGTGAGTGTCTACCAAGTTTGTTCAAATAAAAGCCCTGGGGTCAAAATTGGCCCCGCCCCGGGGGGTCATTGATTTTCCCTATATGCATATAGTAAAAAATTTAAAAAATCTTCTTTTAAAGAACCCAAAGAGCTAGAGCTAAGATATTTAGCATGAAACATGTTCAAATGGGTGTCTACCAAGTTTGTTCAAATACAAGCCCTGGGGTCAAAATTGGCCCCGCCCCGGGGGGTCATTAATTTTCCCTATATGCATATAGTAAAAAATTTAAAAAATCTTCTTTTAAAGAACTCAAAGAGCTATGGCTAAGATATTGAGCATCAAACATGTTCTAATAGGTGTCTACCAAGTTTGTTCAAATAAAAGCCCTGGGGTCAAAATTGGCCCCGCCCCAGGGGTCATTGATTTTCCCTATATGCATATTGTAAAAACTTAAAAAATCTTCTTTTAAAGAACCAAAAGAGTTAGAGCTAAGATATTTAGCATGAAACATGTTCTAATAAGTGTCTACCAAGTTTGTTCAAATAAAAGCCCTGGGGTCAAAATTGGCCCTGCCCCGGGGGCTCATTGATTTTCCATATATGCATATAGTAAAAACTTAAAAAATCTTCTTTTAAAGAACCAAAAGAGTTAGAGCTAAGATATTTAGCATGAAACATGTTCTAATAAGTGTTTACCAAGTTTGTTCAAATAAAAGCCCTGGGGTCAAAATTGGCCCCGCCCCGGGGGGTCATTGATTTTCCCTATATGCATATAGTAAAAACTTTAAAAATCTTCTTTTAAAGAACTCAATGAGCTATGGCTAAGATATTTAGCATCAAACATGTTCTAATAGGTGTCTACCAAGTTTGTTCAAATAAAAGCCCTGGGGTCAAAATTGGCACCGCCCCGGGGGTCATTGATTTTCCTTATATGTGTATAGCAAAAACTTAAAAAATCTTCTTTGAAAAAACCCAAATAGCTAGAGTGAAGATATTAAGCATGAAACATCTTTTAGTGAGTGTCTACAAAGTTTGTTCAAATAAAAGACCTGGGGTCAAAATTGGCCCCGCCCCGGGGGTCATTGATTTTCTTTATATGTGTATAGCAAAAACTTAAAATCTTCTTTGAAAAAACCCAAATAGCTAGAGTTTAGATATTAAGCATGAAACATCTTCTAGTAAGTGTCTTCAAAGTTTGTTCAAATAAAAGCCCTGGGGTCAAAACCGGCCCGGCCCCAGGGGTGTCATTGTTTTAAACTATATGTGTATAGTAAAAACTTAAAAAAAATCTTCTTTTAAAAAGCCAAATGAGCTAGAGCTTAGATGTTTAGCATGAAACATCTTCTTATGGGTGTCTATCAAGTTTGTGCAAATAAAAGCCCTTGGGTTAAATTGGCTCTGCAACGTTGGGGGGAGATGGGGTTGGGGGGCCTATTTACAGGTGAGCGACCTCAGGGCCATCATGGCCCTTTTGTTAGGTAAAATAGGAAAAATGCAGAGTTTTGCTTATTCTAAAATTATTAAAGAATTAAGATATTAATCATTAATCTAATACTGGTAGCACTTTGGTGGATAGATTCATGACTTCTCCAATCTGCGTATTTTACATATAAACACAATTTTGTACGGTATACCTGGGACAGAAAGATACTCTTTCATTTTTAGTCCCAATTTCTTAAAATCATACCATAATTATCATATCACCATTTCTAATTTTGATAAACAGTGAAACAAAAACAAATTGCCAAGCGCCGGCATTTTTCTCAATATTGACATGCAGGGAAAGTATTGCCCCGAAAGTTATTTCTTTTTCACCATATCATCTTTATTTTCCTGATGGTTTTAAACCATCTCAATCATGCTTTACGCAAGGTTAACTCCAGGAACATCATTTCCATTGAGAGAAATGTGAATAAAAGTATTCTTTTCACTATTACATGTTGTATAATCTACATGTAGATTAACCAGTTTCCTTGTCCGAAAGTTATCGATATGTGGCTATTTTTAGAACAGGTCTCTTATCAGTGACGTATACGATGCTTATCTCAGATCGTTCCCTATTGCATTTTTATGCTCCCCGAAAAAATTTCGGGGGAGCATATAGTCGCCGCCTTGTCCGTCCGTCCCCTTTTCTTGTCCGGGACATAACTCTAAAAGTATAAGAGGTATCAACATGAAACTTTGTAGGTAGATAGATCTCATTGAGTAGGTGTGCAGTGCACAAGAACCGTAACTCTGCCTTGCCTAATTTTTGAATTACCCCCCTTTGTTTTTTTTACACTTTGAAATTTGTCCGGGACATAACTCTAAAAGTATAAGAGGTATCAACATGAAACTTTGTAGGTAGATAGATCTCATTGAGTAGGTGTGCAGTGCACAAGAACCGTAACTCTGCCTTGCCTAATTTTTGAATTACCCCCCCTTTGTTTTTTTTACACTTTGAAATTTGTCCGGGACATAACTCTAAAAGTATAAGAGGTATCAACATGAAACTTTGTAGGTAGATAGATCTCATTGAGTAGGTGTGCAGTGCACAAGAACCGTAACTCTGCCTTGTCTTATTTTTGAATTATCCCCCTTTGTTTATTTTACACTTTGAACTTTGTCCGGGATTTAACTCTAAAAGTATAAGAGGTATTAACATGAAACTTTGTAGGTAGATAGATCTCATTGAGTAGGTGTGCAGTGCACAAAAACCGTAACTCTGCCTTGCCTAATTTTTGAATTATCCCCCTTTGTTTATTTTACACTTTGAAATTTGTCCGGGACATAACTCTAAAAGTATAAGAGGTATCAACATGAAACTTTGTAGGTAGATAGATCTCATTGAGTAGGTGTGCAGTGCACAAGAACCATAACTCTGCCTTGCCTTATTTTTGAATTATCCCCCTTTGTTTATTTTACACTTTGAACTTTGTCCGGGACATAACTCTAAAAGTATAAGAGTTATCAACATGAAACTTTGTAGGTAGATAGATCTCATTGAGTAGGTGTGCAGTGCACAAAACCGTAACTCTGCCTTGCCTACTTTTGGAGTTATTGCCCTTTGTTCATTTTGACACTTTGAACTTTGTCTGGGACATTACTCTAAAATTATAAGAGATATCAACATGAAACTTTGTAGATAGATAGGTCTCATTGGGTGGAAGTGCAGTGCTTAAGAATCATTACTCTGCCTTGCCTTATTTTGAAGTAATTGCCCTTTGTTTATTTTTACTTTTTGACTTTTGTCCTGGACAATACTTTAAAACTATTAGAGATATCAACATGAAACTTTGTAGGTAGCCAGATATAATTGGATAGAATTGCAATGCTTTAGAACCTAAACAAAGCCTGGTCTAATTTTGGAGTTATTGCTCTTTGTTCATTTTTACACTTTGACTTTTACCCGGGACATAACTTTGATATCATCAGGAAACTTTATAGATAGGTAGATCTCATTGAATAGAAGTGCAGTGCAAAAAAACCATAACTCTGCTTTGCCTAATTTTGGAAATGTTGCCCTTTGTTCACTTTTTTTATACTTTCCTGTGTCCAGAACCTTCTCGGGGAGCATCACCCGGTTCAACCGGTTCTTGTTTTTTACATTTTGCATTATTTTGTTACTTTTTTTGATTACCATATAGTGAGCGAAGTTCACCTGTGACAAGTAAGTGTACATGTTCCGCCGAAATGAGGCTTGATAGCGTCATCTCCAATCAAACAAACATAGTAAGTGTCGGCATGGCCGAGTGGTTAACGCATCAGACTAGTAATCTAATGATCGCTAGCCGCATGGGTTCAAAACCCCATCAGGGGCAAGTCGTCACTTCCTTGGGCAAAAAACTTTACACTCATTGCTCAGTACTGGTTGGTTCCAGAAACAGATTCGAAAGTGTGTCTGCAAGCGAATAGCTTTCTAAACAATCAAACTAAAATAAATTTTGTATAAACCAAACAAACATAGATAAAATATTGATATATATGTACAGATTATATTTAAAATGTAAGATTTTGTTATTAACATTATTTATTTTAGAATGGGAACTGTTGTGGTTGAGTTGTACTGGAAACATGCTCCAAACACTTGTAGAAACTTTGCTGAACTTGCTCGACGTGGTTACTACAATGGTGTAAAGTTTCACAGAATTATTAAAGATTTTATGATTCAAGGAGGCGATCCAACAGGAACAGGTTTGTAATTATGTACATTAATCAGTGTATAACTGCTAACATTTCTTCATAAATACAGAAATCTGAAATGATGTTTGCAAGTAAGAGCAGATTTACCTCGGCAAAGTATCTTTTTTTAAAGATACTTAAGTCTGCTCACATTTTAATGTTTTACATCTTATAGTACAAACTTAGAACATATAGTGCACAGACACAACATGGGGAACTCTCATTTCATATTAACTTATAATAGCTGATCTAAAGATTTGAAATAGCAAATTTCTGCAAAACATTTTATGAATTTCAGAAGACTTATTAATTTATAAAAAAATATTTTCAGACGACATTAGTTTAGAAAAAATCTAAAGCTAGTGTATTCCTAAAGTTCTGTTCTATTTTCTGATATTTTTTTTCTGATATATGTTTTCCAATATATGTTTTTTGATTACTTTTAGGACGAGGTGGTGCCAGTATATATGGAAAAGAATTTGACGACGAAATCCATGGGGATCTTAAGCATACTGGTAATTTGTACTTGTAAAAACTTTTACAGCAAGTAATTCAGATTTTTTTTGGTGTGTTTGTTGTGGGAATATACATTTGTATACACAGTATATAAATTATGTAAACATCGGCTTACTTTTCCTCCAAGAAATGAAATGTGGGTACAGAAAATAAAATTGAAATTAGTACTCTAATATAAAATGTAAGCAGTGTCTTGGGATGAGTGAATGAATATAAGGAAAATTGAACTGAATAAATATACCAACATATTAAGAAATGGATACTTTCTGTAAAATGTGATGAAAATATAGCTTTTATTGCCACATTTCTATGTTGTCCCTTACGGAATACAAGTTAATAAGTTATTTCTGTATACATTGATTCATTTATAATAGATAATAAATGGGGATAGTTAGTTTCTTATTATGCCCCCACAATGTGGGAGCATATAGCCTTGCACTTGTCCGTCCGTCCGTCAGTCCCGAAATCTTGTGAACGCAACTCCTCTTAAAACGGATGGCAGATTTTGCTTAAACTTACAGGGATGAACAACCTTAATGTGTAGATGGTAGTAAAGGAAGGAATTTTCGCTGCGACCAAATTTAACAGAATTATGGCCCTTTGTTGATTTTTTCACTAGATACTATGTAGAAATTTTGTGAACGCAACTCCTCTTAAACCGGATGGCAGATTTTGCTTAAACTTACAGGGATGAACAACCTTAAGGTGTAGATGGTAGTAAAGGAAGGAATTTTTGCTGCGACCAAATTTTACAGAATTATGGCCCTTTGTTGATTTTTTCACTATATACTATGTAGAAATTTTGTGAATGCAACTCCTCTTAAACCTGATGGCAGATTTTGCTTAAACTTTCAGGGATGAACAACCTTAATGTGTAGATGGTAGTAAAGGAAGGAATTTATGCTGCGACCAAATTTAACAGAATTATGGCCCTTTGTTGATTTTTTCATTATATACTATGTAGAAATTTTGTGAACGCAACTCCTCTTAAACGGGATGGCAGATTTTGCTTAAACTTCCAGGGATTAACAACCTTAATGTGTAGATGGTAGTAAAGGAAGGAATTTATGCTGCGACCAAATTTAACAGAATTATGATTTTTTGTTGATTTTTAGTTTTCAACTTGTGGCACATGTAGTCCAAAAAATATTTGACCTAGAGTCATAAGATTGACAGAACAGTGGCGTGTGGGGGCATCCGTGTCCTATGGACACATTTCTAGTATTTGTCTGAATTACAGTGTGAATACATACATCTGACAATTTTTTAAACAAATTTTTACATTTTTTTTTTATTTTTGTGAAATAGTACTTGTATTTATTTAAAGACTTGCTGCTTTAAGGTATTGAAAGAAATGAATGACCTAGTCCGATAGTAATTGATAATGTAACACTTTTCTGTATACTACAGGTGCAGGGATTTTATCAATGGCTAATAGTGGGCCAGGTACAAATGGCAGTCAGTTTTTTATTACTCTAGCCCCTACACAATGGTTGGATGGAAAACATACAATATTTGGGCGTGTGAGCAGTGGTATGACCTGTGTTCAGAGAGTTGGACTAGTTGAGACAGACAGTACAGATAAACCTGTAGATGATATCAAAATTGTAAAAGCATCTATACCTCAAACTTGATTAAAATGTAAAAACATTATCAATGGTTATTTTGTTATCTTTTTGCTCACCTGAGTGTATTACTGTAAAGTGCCTTGAAATTTCCTTATTTGAACTTTGAAGTCAGTCTGTTGCATATTTTAGTAAGGTCACTCACTCAAATGAAATTTAGATTTTTTGCCCTCTAAACTGCAAGTTAAATAAATTCTTAGATTTTTATTTCATATAGCATTGTCTTGTGACGTTTTATATAATTATAAATTGAAATTTGGAGTAAATAATAAATATTTTTCTGTTGTGCTTAATACTTTTATTGCACATTCTATTATAACAAATATGTATCACAGTGGAGACTTATAAAACGTAAAAGCACGTTTCCAACCACATTTATGTTATCATATAAAGCGCACCCAAATTACTTTTGCTTTTATTACCTATGCAGAACATTTAATTTTATTTTACAAATATCCCATACAACAAATCAATCATGTAGCTTGATTATTATTAACATTAACATTTTTCAGAGATCCATTTTGTCCCCTCCCCCCCCCCCCCCCGCACCCACCCACACACACAAAAAACAACAACAACAAAAGCATGATTAGCAAAATAGATGGAATATGAAGATAGCCTTTTCAAAAGTTCTCTTTTATACAAAACAAAGAAGTATGATGGCAAGTTGGAATAAACATTCTTAACATAGATTATTTTGTGGAGCAGTACCTCAATAATTAATGTAATTGTTAGTATTAGTATTTCCGTGGTAAGATATGTCGGCCTATGTAGAACATTGAAATTAATTTGTCAGTTGCTGGTTCAATCCTTGGACGAGTTGAAAAAAATATTTCGGACACTCGAGACTGATAGCTATATGTCTCTCATTACTAATTCAGGAATTAGTAATCGCTCATTTGCATAAAATTTGGTGATTAAGGGTTAGTTATTCAGTAAAGTGGGTTAGATAAACCAACCAACGATGACCAAAAATGTGTTTAAATCCCCTAAGAACCAAACAATCATTTACATGCTATAATCTTAACTCACACCAACAATGTAAAGGTCATACAACCTCTTTTTGTTTGTGGAAAAGACCTCCAATGCCCCTTCAAATCTTATATAAATTACAAAACAAGGTTAACACTATAGGCCCCCCCACATTTATGGTGGGGGCATAAAAATCTGCAATTACTATGCAAAGAAATGCTAACAGCAAATTGGTATCACCAGATCGGTGAACAAAAAAAATCTAACGAGAAAAATATTTACTTGGTTGAAGAATTGTTTAAATAGTAAGGATTTATGTTAAGAGCAAAATAGGGCTGATATTACTCTCTATATCGTAGTATTTTAAACCATTAAGGGTAAAGGCTATCACGAAGATATTGACACATTTTAGGGGCCTACCTAGTCTACTTTGTTTACTCACTTTTTAAACTTTTACTAAATTTTCAAAAAATATTTTGACTGCATCTGGAGGCTGTTGCTTTAATGTATAAAAAGTCATAATCTTAGTTTTTAATGGTTAAAACACAACATAAGAGGTGTCAGTAAGACAAAGTTGTGCTCAACTATTTCCAGAGTTTTTGGTAGTAAAACAGGGCCTTTGAACGTGACTTTCAAAATAATTTAGTGTGTGAAATTTTTTAAACCCATTTTCCTTTCGTACTTTTGGGATACCAACTTGCTTGGGCAAAACTTAAACGAAATTTGTGACAGAGAACCCAACACTTGGGGTGAGCATTGCCCAATGACAACCCTAGGTGGAAACAATAGATTTTCCCTTATTTTCTGAACAGTTGAGCTTTTAAACCAGTCGCCTGTTAGCTACAAAATAAACAAGAGGGCCATTGATTTGGCCCCTGGAGTCGTCACCCAAAAAAATGCTTTTCAGTGTTGGGAATGTATGAATATTTAAAATTTTAAATTTTGGGAGATTAGAATATGTTTTAAACAATATTTGAAGAAATGCATGAATCTGGGGGCTTTAATCAAATTAAATATGAGCAAACTTGATAAAAGACTACCTAAGAATGTTACAAAGTTTGGTGATCATCTATCAATTTTAATATTTCAGTAGGAAATGATGTTCAAAGGTTTTTTCTATTTTTAGCTTTAGTGGCCCTAAAAGGGGCTAATCAAATTAATATAAGCAAACTTGATAAAAGACTACCCAACAATGCTACAGACAAGGTTTGGTGATCATCCATCAATTAGTTCTGTAGAAATAGACATTTAAAGGTATTTCTATTTTTAGCTTTAGCGGCCCCTAAAAAGGGCCAATCAAATTCATATGAGCAAACTTGATAAAAGACTACCCAAGAATGCTACAGACAAGGTTTGGTGATCATCCATTCATTAGTTCTGTAGAAATAGACATTTAAAGGTATTTCTATTTTTAGCTTTAGCGGCCCCTAAAAAGGGCCAATCAAATTCATATGAGCAAACTTGATAAAAGACTACCCAAGAATGCTACAGACAAAGTTTGGTGATCATCCATCAATTAGTTCTGTAGAAGAAGATCTCTAAAGGTTTTTCTATTTTTAGCTATTGAGACCCCTAAAAGGGGCCAATCAAATTAATATGAGCAAACTTGATAAAAGACTACCCAAGAATGCTACAGACAAAGTTTGGTGTGCATCCATCGATTAGTTGTGTAGAAATAGACATATTTAGGTATTTCTATATTTAGCTTTTGCGGCCCCTAAAAGGGGCCAATCAAAATAATATTAGCAAACTTGATAAAACGCTACTCGAGAATGCTACTGACAAAGTTTGGTGATCGTCCATCAATTAGTTCTGAAGGAGAAAATGTTTAAAGGTTTTTGTATTTTTAGCCCTAGAGACCCCTAAAAGGGGCCAATCAAAATAATATTAGCAAACTTGATAAAAGACTCCCCAAGAATGCTACAGACAAAGTTTGATGATCATCCATCAATTAGTTCTGTAGCAATAGACGTTTAAACGTATATCTAAATTTAATTTTAGCGGCCCCTAAAAGGGGCCAATCAAATTAATATGAGCAAACTTGATAAAAGACTACCAAAGAATGCTACAGACAAGGTTTGGTGATCATCCATCCCATTAGTTCTGTTAGAAATAGACATTTAAAGTATTTCTATTTTTAGCTTTAGCGCGCCCCTAAAAAGGGCCAATCAAATTATATGAGCAAACTTGATAAAAGACTACCCAAGAATGCTACAGACAAAGTTTGATGATCATCCATCAATTAGTTCTGCAGGAGAAGATCTCTAAAGGTTTTTCTATTTTTAGCCCTAGAGACCCCTAAAAGGGGCCAATCAAAATAATATTAGCAAACTTGATAAAAGACTACCCAAGAATGCTACAGACAAAGTTTGGTGATCATCCATCAATTAGTTCTGTAGCAATAGACATTTAAAGGTTCTTCTATTTTTAGCTTTAGTTTTTTAGTATTTTTAGGCCAATCAAATTCATAAGGGCCTACTTGATAAAAGACTACCCAAGAATGCTACCGACAAAGTTTGGTGATCATCCATCCTTTAGATCTGTAGAAGAAGATGTTTAAAGGTTTTTTCTATTTTTAGCCCTAGAGACCCCTAAAAGGGGCCAATCAAATTATTATGAGCAAACTTGATAAAAGACTACCCAAGAATGCTACAGACAAAGTTTGGTGATCATCCATCAATTAGTTCTGTAGAAGATGTTTAAAGGTTTTTCTATTTTTAGCTCTGCTGACCCCTAAAAGGGGCCAATTGGAATGACATGAGCAAATTCAAGTGTGACTGTCACAAGGATGCTACAGACCAAGTTTGAAGTAAATCTGCTTAGTAGTTTCATAGAAGAAGATGATTGTTGACGCCGGACGCCGGAGCATCCCCCTTTGATACTAATAGCTCACCCTGAGCCTTCGGCTCTGGTGAGCTAACAATTCATTAACATTTACATTGACTTGTGAATTCCACATTTTGTGTACATGTGTTTTGTTTACCCTTGCCGAGCATATGTACTTCAATGTATATTCATAACTACATATTTCATTTTAATACAGAAATATTTATAACCTTTAGATAAGAGGTTATAACCCAAATATTTACAAATAAACCTTTATAAATAAAAATCATTTTATGTAATTAATTCAGACATTATATCAACTGACATAAAATCTTAACAAATCCGGTTTTCTGCCAATATCACTTACATAAATGAGGGAAAAAAATCTCTAACAAACACAGCCATAAATTAGCAACAAATGATCAAAATATCAAAACAATAAGGGAGCTGTCCATGGAAGTAATTGTATATATGGAGCCAACTGATTGTCAACCAAGCTGAACTGCTAAAAGCTAATCTAGAACAGCTGAAAACATGGTTTCAAGTCATGTTCTTATTCAATAATATAATTATGCAAGAAGAATCTTTTAAACAGGCTCCCTACAATTCACAAAAACACTTGTTAATTATTGGCTTGAGTATCAACCCCATACTGCATAGTTACACTTGGGACTTTTTTTTTTATATATATAAAATTAGGGAAATTTTGTTTGTTTGTGTGTACCCTATCAACTATCATCACAATATTAAATCCAGACAGTGTCTTGGTATTCCGAGAGCTATTAAAGTCTGGTAGTTCTGTTTACATATTTCAAGATTTAAACTTTTCACCACAGTGTTAAAGGCCAAAAGTTTCAGTGGTGGTATCTGAACCCACATGATCTGTAAGGCGTTAGTTCTCTGATCATCGATTCTGGTCACTCCTCCAAATATAAACATACACCCATCCTGAAACACAACAGAATTTACAATATAAGATAAGGGTAGGTTCTATCATTCAAATTCACCCTATTGTTATGTTAATTAGATGTGATTTGATTATATTTCTTATTTTTAGCTTTTGCACGCATGTTTTTAGTAGACTCATGATTTTAACCCAAAATTAAATTGTGCTCATTGGGAGCTAAATATTATCTACCCTTTTATCTATCTTCTATCATGCCCTTTACACTTCCCAATCTTTATTTAGTTTGATGCTTTCAGGTACTACTTTGTGAAAACTCAATGCTAAAAGAGCAGACTAACTTAAAAATAAAATGCATTTTTGACTTTCGTGAAAATATTTTAGGAAGCATAAAAAATAACATTGTTGACTGGTCCATGTCAAAGTAAAGATAAAACAGAATGATGAGACTTAAACAATATGCCTTGTATATCAATACATGCAAAGATGACAAGGGTGGTAAAATCAATTGTCCAGGTTGTCCCATAGCCTATACAGACAAGTGGAAATTTTCAAGAAAATACCGGTTCTATATAAATATCATATGGACAAGTTAAGAAATGCTTCAGATAAAAACGGAAAATTAATCAAAACAGATTTTTCCGGCCCTGCAGATGATAAAAATGTTAAGTAAAAATTTACAGCTTACGTCTGTAACTGCAGCAGAATGAAAATAGACAGGTTTAGGTAAAGGCAATTTTAAAGCCGTCCACTGATATGAAGGAAGATGAAATCTCCACATATCTGCTAAAATACCATCTGGTGAAAGCCCGCTTGATACATACACATCTGCTCAAATAGAATAGATTAGAATTTTAGGTACACTATGCTCAAATTTGATATTAGAAAATAATGTTAATTGCTACACAGTATCTTTGTAAATACAAAATTAACATGTTTTGACTTCATACAAAGTAGATATGATTTAATTATTTAAAGTTAATGGTGGAGGAAGACTTCGGGTGCCCCTCCATGCATTATTTCAGGCACAAACCCCCACCTGGGTAGAACCACTGACGTTTCGTTAGCTAGCTGGATAGCTTCCTCACATGAAAGAATCCATAGTCCTTGCCAGGATTTTAACCCAAAGTTCATGGGGGCAAGTGTTTTGAACAACTAAGCCACAGACATCCCCACTATCTGCTTACAATTAAATAAAATCAAACCAAAAAATTCTGTATTTAAACTAATGATATATGTACTGAATATATGCTGAAACACTTTTAAGGTAACTAAACTCAGCAGTATGACTTTTAGATTTTTTTTTTTCAACTCGAACTCGGGGTATATGATGGGTCAGAAACCAGCTTAGAATGTACACTGACCAGTGAAAATCCTGAGATTTGACACAGAATTCAGAAATAATTTTTATAATCTCACGGACAGTACTGGTTAGTTTCAGGTAGCAGCTCAAGAGGGGTTCAAATATGCTTCAAGATTTAATGGCAATCCAGCTAAAATAAAAGTATTTAAACTAAATTTACAGAATGATAATTTAAGAAATTTCAAGCGTTAAACATCGAATCATTTTTATTTATTAAAATTTTTATAATTCCTTACCATCTTTAAATCTCACACAACTGTGACATCTTCTACAGCCTGGGAAAACTGTAACATAAAAATATGATAAAAATGGTTATTTTCTAATAATATTAACAGAATTATTTTCTAATAATATCAACAGAAAACAGGTCTATATCATTCAAGACTGTCTTGATCAAGACGGTTGATTTTTTTAACAGCCATTGATGAAGAAAACATACTTAAAGGCTCTAAAAAAAATAGCAGGTTAATATCAAGGACATATTTAGGTTCCTTGAACATTTGTGCACTTTCTATGCAGCCTTTTTGCTGGGTTTTAAGTCTCATCATAATTGTTAAGGTTAATGAGGTTTTACAGTAACTTCCAAGCTTTACTGGTAAGGGAAGACCTCTGAAGTCCTGTCATACATTACTTAAGGCAGCAACAGGTACATGAATAGAACCACAGAACTTCTGTAAGGTAACTGGATAAGCTTCCCTACACAACAGAATGTATAGTAAATGGAGGACTTGAATCTAGCATAGTTTTGGAAAAGTGAAGGTCAGCACATTAACAACTTCGCTATGGGGACCCAAATGAAGCCTTTAATGGGTGTAAAGCCGTAACTGGATACATATACCAAATACATCTAACAAGAGGGCCATGATGGCCCTGAAGTCGCTCACCTGTATATAGGCCCCCGGAGTGGGGCTGGTTTAAACCCCAGGGCTTTTATTTGAACAAACTTGGTAGACACCCATCAGAAGATGTTTCATGCTAAACATCTAAGGTCTAGCTTGTTGGGTTTTTTAAAAGAAGATTTTTATAGTTTTTTCTTTACACATATATTCAAAAACAATGACACCCCTAGGGCAGGGCCAGTTTTGACCCCAGGGCTTTTATTTGAACAATCTTTGTAAACACTTACTAGAAGATGTTTCATGCTTAATATCTACACTCTAGCTATTCGGGTTTTTTCGAAAAAGATTTTTAAGTTTTTGCTATACACATATAAGGAAAATCAATGTCCCCCGGGGCGGGGCCAATTTTGACCCCAGGGCTCTTATTTGAACAAACTTGATAGACATCCATTAGAACATGTTTCATGCTAAATATCTTAGCTCTAGCTCTTTAGGTTCTTTAAAAGAAGATTTTTAAGTTTTTACTATATTCATCTAGGGAAAATTAATGACCCCACTGGGGCGGGGCCAATTTTGACCCCAGGGCTTTTATTTGAACAAACTTTGTAGACACCCATTAAAACATGTTTCATGCTAAATATCTTAGCTCTAGCTCTTTGGGTTCTTTAAAAGAAGATTTTTTAAGTTTTTACTATATGCATATAGGGAAAATCAATGACCCCCTGGGGCGGGGCAAATTTTGACCCCAGGGCTTTTATTTGAACAAACTTGGTAGACACTCACTAGAAGATGTTTCATGCCAAATTTCTAAGCTCTAGCTCTTTGGGTTTTTTAAAAGAAGATATTTAAAGTTTTTTCTTTCGGTTGCCATGGCAACCAGAGTTCTGCATGGAATTAAATTCTTTGAACAGTTTTTAAAGGTGACCACCAAAGGAACATTCCTGTGAAGTTTGGATGAAATTGGCTAAGTGGTTTATGAGGAGATGTCATTTAAAGTAAAAGTTTACGGACGAAGGACGCCGGACGAAAAGCGATCACAAAAGCTCACCCTGTCACAAAGTGACAGGTGAGCTAAAAAGCTATACAATCAATTATCCACAACGTTTTGGTAATGTATGAACAGAATTTTAACAAAAAGTGTACCTGTTATTCAATCAACATGAATCAAAATTCTAAGAAAATTGAGTGAAACATTCCCAAACAAAAGATTATTAAAGAACAGAAATACCTTTTTTCGAATCTCCCTGATCTAATTTTTGTTCACTTGGAAACGTCATGACTTTTTCCCAAGTTTGTTTATCCAGGTCAAAAACATCAATCTAAGGAAATAATAAATTTTACATTTAATCACTGGAAAACAACTCAAAAACAAACAAAATATAATAACATGGTTTTAATCTTCAAGAAGAAAACCCCCAATCAAATCAAGTTTTCCGCTGACTTGGTGTTTGGAAAATTTCTCGTCTCTTTGTGAAAGTCTACATCATATAGTGTCTGTTCAAATTTCTTTAATAATAAAGAGTTTACACTTAAACAATAAAGAGTTCACACACAGCAGTAAAGATCACATTATATAGTAGAGGAACATATAAGTAATGATTTTGTGTTTTCCAAGAATACAACACAAATGCCACTAAACATGTGAATATTTATACATATATGTTATAAAATAATGGCTAGTTTTTGTGGACAAAATGGAAAATGTTTTAGAAATTCTATCAAGTTATCGCAAATGGTTACCCTGGTGGCCAGCAGCGTAAGTCTTGCCAATAAGACAAGGGAATAAAGACACTATAAGTGGTTTAAGTTTCATTAGTTTACAAAAAACATATTTGAGCCGCGTCATGACAGAACCAACATAATGGGTTTGCGACCAGTATGGATCCAGACCAGCCTGCACATCCGCGCAGTCTGATCAGGATCCATGCTGTTTGCTATCAGTTTCTCTACTTGTTATAGAGTTTGTAAGCGAACAGCATGGATCTTAATCAGACTGCGCGGATGCGCAGGCTGGTCTGGATCCATGCTGGTCGCAAACCCATTTTGTTGGTTTTGTCGTGACGCGGCTCATTTATTACACACCGGTAGAAATCTTGAAGGGTTTTATATTTATAGCAACATTGGACATACTGACCTTATCAAGATTAAATGCAGAATAATTGACACCTGCCCCACCACCAAACATGAGTAACTTCCCTTTATAATAAATAACTTCATGTCGATATCTGGAAAGTAATACAACATATTTTTTTTACACATCCAAGTAATATTTAACAAAAATCAAAATTTCAAATCTCATACATAAAATTGATGATTTTTTTTTTATTTATTTGGTACATAACCTTTCGATAAATTTTAAGTACGAAACACATTTCATGGCATGATGCAATTTTTACTTTCAGAAGGGTATAGCAGTGTTTTTCTTATATACATTTTGTAATTATAAGTCTGTATTGGACCACATTTATGTTTTCAGTATGATCTTTACAAAGACATTATATTACATGTGAATTGCTGACCAATATCCAAGTTTTGATGAATGTCATTGACTAAATCCTTCTACATTTATTTACCATTTACAGTATCAAGGTTAAAGCAGCATGTCTCCAGAGAAATATTTATTTTCATGAAAATTTTAAAAATGTATTTAAAAATTAAATATTGTGAAGCAAACAAAGAAAGTAAACAGCCCTTACAATTCATGTCAATTACCAAGAAGAGGTCAAAATATGCAAAAATAGCATTATACATATACATTCATGATTTGTCACACAGTAGAAATATGATAATAAATATTGCAAAATCAGTCATTTATTGCACATAATATGTGAATTATTCATTATTATCTTTTTACTTCTTTAAAAATCTTAGAACATTTTTATACTTCATGTGGAGGCATGCCGCTTTAAAACTTAAATCTACAAAAAAGTAAATTTCATCTACTGACGGCTTATTTACCAAATGTAATAAATATTCTAGTGACAGACATTAGTCTTATTTCATTTATTGTCCTAAAAAACTTACATCCTTTAATCAATGTCATACTTGCTGAATATCCCCATTCAAATACCTATAATAAACCCTGTTCAAATACCTACAATACACCCTGTTCAAATACCTACAATACACCCCATTCAAATACCTATAATACACCCCCTTCAAATACCTATAATACACCCCATTCAAATACCTATAATACACCCAGTTCAAATACCTACAATACACCCCATTCAAATACCTATAATACACCCAGTTCAAATACCTACAATACACCCCATTCAAATACCTATAATACACCCAGTTCAATAACCTATAATACACCCCATTCAAATACATGAAATACCTATAATAAACCCTGTTCAAATACCTATAATACATCCCATTCAAATACCTATAATACACCCCTAAGAATACCTATAATACACTTCAAATACACCAACAAAATACTCCCCACCAACAAATACTCACATGACTTTTTTCTGTTAAGAATACAATTATAAAATTTTAACCCTTATCCTGCTGAATTTCTTAAATAGACTTGTCAAGCTTCCATTTTTGAAACTGTCCATTATCAATTTTGAATGGACAGACCAAGCCATATCATAATAGTTTAATAGTTAATTAATACATCCCTGAGGTCTTCGGGTGTATGAAAATATATGATCACTGAACCTTTTCGGTCCAAGAGTGATTAACCTTTGACCTTTGCTACCAGCCTTCAAAATCATGCAGACTGACCATATGTCAATAGGTCAATTTTTGTATATAGATATTGAAAATCATAAAATTTTGAATAAATCCTAAAAATTCAAAGCTGGGCAATTCCAATATAAAGTTTCAGGGGGTTAAGGGTTTTGCTTCTCAAAAAACAAGACCAATATACCAAGTACCTTGGTTGTGGAATATACTTTGAATTTACTGGTATCTCCTCCCATGTTAGTAAATTCAGATCAAGTTTGTGTATGTTGCTATCATATACATATCCACACGTCCCGCCAATAACATATAAACAATTGTCCACCTGTGTCAGTGACTAAAATGTAAATAAGATTAGATTTAATGGAACTACATGTAAAAGTTTACTTTGCAAACTAAAAAATTTTCTTACGAATAAAATTTTTTGTTTGGTTAGGTTTTAAGTCATATTTGATGGGGAAGACTTGAAAAACCTGTACCGGTATGTTGTTTGAGACACAACAGAACAGTTGGTTCTACTAACTATTACAAAAAAGAAACGATTTAGGTAATGAACATACATTTTCTCAAGCATAAGAGAAAGAAATGGTCTAAAAATGTAAAAATGACACAAAATGCAGGAAGTCACATTTTCAATTTCACAATCTACTGATTCAGCATACCCGCAAACCCTTTAAACCAGCTATTTTATCAAGCACCCAGTCCTGTTTTAAAGAAAAATATCACATAACATCAACATTATCAAGTTCATGTTGTAATTTTCCCATATAACTGGTGCAGTAAGGGGTCGAGGTACCCCTGTATATTAAAATTTATTCCAAGTAAGAATACTGACATTTCATTGGCTAGCAGATCAGTTTCCTATAAGCATCATCAACAGCTTACTGGTACACACTTAAGCATGATATTCAGAACTGACATTTAAAAACAATAGTTGTCAAACAATTCTACACAATGTTGACTGTCATAGTCTTACATTTATTATTTATTTTGCTGCAGAGAAAGTGAAATGCCAAGAAATTTAGTTTCAAGTACATATATAAAACAAGTTAATTTTATGATACAGTATAATCCAAAGCAAAAAAATAAGAGAGGTATACAACTCATCATACATGTCCATATTTAGGTCTTGGAACACCGTTGTCTTCTTCTTCATCGCCATCTTCATCATCATCATCATTATCATTTGCTGGACTTTTTGGTTTTAAAAGCACTTTCCATTCTAATGTGTCAAGGTCAAGGTCATATAAACAGTTTGTATTGGCACTCCCGAATGGAACGCCTGTTCCACCAAACTGTAGCAAATGGTTCTTGACTTTTACAACTGAAAACAGGAAGAAAATATCATTTGTTTCAATTCGGATACCCCCCTACTTTCGGTTTAACCCTAACCTAAATGTCATTATAAACTTGTCCCATCCTTTCAATCTGGACAAAACCATACATTAGAAAAATTCGAAAAAATGTTGCAACTAATAGTGTGGTTAGAATCAATGCCATCAGCAGTCTAATGGGTTTAGAAATAAAAATTTGAGCCGCGTCAAGACAAAAACCAACATAATCGGTTTTCGACCAGCATGGATCCAGACCAGCCTGCGCATACGCGCAGTCTGATCAGGATCCATGCTGTTCGCTATCAGTTTCTTTACTTGTTATAGGGTCTGTAAGCAAACGGCACGGATCCTGATCAGACTGCGCGGAAGGGCAGGCTGGTCTGGATCCATGCTGGTCGCAAACACATTATGTTGGTTTGTCATGACGTTGCTCAAATGTCCTTACAACTCCTTCAAATTTAAGAGCTAAAATAAACCTTTGAATCATAAACTAGATACTAAATATGTTTTATAAAAAAAATATTATAAACATAAAATTTTTTTTTAATCAACAAACTGCAGCACAATGATTTCAAGCCAATTATACTGCAAAATAATAATACTTTATAAATTCTTAACCATTAACCTTCTGAATTTCTTAGCATTTTTGAAACTTTCCATTATGATTTGGTGGATATCGAGATAAAAATTTAAGGTTGGTCAGCCAAAAGGATACAGCCTGGTCAGAAAGCATGGAAATGCAGGCTGGCCTAACTCTATACTGGGGGCAAAAGTTTGGTTCTAGCAAGTTATGGGTCAATATTTACATACGATGGTGGGATGCCAACTGTGTTGGTATGTCTCCATGTGTCTTCAACAACTTCCACTCTCCAGTCCAAATTTGATACCTCCACAACTGTTGAAAATAATAATACAAACCAGTTACATAATTTGTTATAAAATATAAAATACAGTTTCCACATAACATTATAAACTGATGCAAAATTGCCTGTTGACAATTAATATACAGCAAAATAATTCCAATGATAATTTTTTTAACTTTCAAAAAATCAGAATGGAAACTATTATATACACCTCTGTAATGCACTGTGTACATATATCATTAATAATAAGTGTAATAAATAAACCTCTTTGAGCAATGGGTATGTATGATCTTCATCATCCAAGTCCCATAAGTCAGGATCATAGTTATATCCTCCCCAACTGTACACGTATTTCTCATCTACAACAATTCTATGACCACTTCGAGGAATAAATTCTGTAGAAAATTAAATTATAACAATAATACAAAATTAATGTATGACAATTCACCATATATTTAGGATAAGTATTGTTTTTCTATTTGAACAATTCACTTAAAGGGACTCCACTGAGGTTTTTTGACATGACAAGACTGGAAATTTTTTTTTTTTGATTTGTGTACAATCAATAACTATTGTGTGCAAATTTTCAGATTTAAATACCTCACTCTGCTTTTTATTACAATATTAAATCACTTTTATTGTGCGAAAGGACTGAAAAGAGAAATGCATTCTAACACTTTTCACTCAAATCGGGCTAAGACTCACACAAACAATCGATATTCAATTTATTTCGGAATATATGTCTCTCTCATCCTGTGCAGATTTTACCATTTTAACTGCTTCACTTGATATTTGAAAGAATTTCCAATTTTCTGTTTTTACCCCTTTTAACCTCAGTGGAGCTCCTTTACCATTTAACAATCATTAATTTATGACAATTATAAAGGGGACATAATTTTTGACAATTATAATACATTTGTATGAAATGAATTTGCTTTCTCAAAACTGCTTTCACTGGATTGCAGGGTAATTAGTCTAGACAAAAAATCATCTGCAGTATTGTCCGGAAAAGGCAAAATCCGCGCTGAACGTACTTCAAGCACGATATATATTTTTTTATAGCTCTATACTTTCTTTACATTACAAAGATCAATAACAATATGTAAAATTATTTAAACAGCTAGTGTGTTACCGAAGCTCAGTAATCCAACGGCTGCTAGTTCATTGCAATCTGTGTCCAAAATGGTCACAGCAAAAATTTCCCCTTGCCCATGGATTGAACCCAGAGACCCTTGGATTACAAGTCCATACCTATCCCTATCGAGCTCAGTGGGTAGACAAAAACTTAATAAGTATATAAATAGTCTGTTTGTCTCACAATTTATAAATACCCAATACCAGAACTCACTGTCTATAAATAAAATGAAGAAGAATGACACTTGAAATTATGCTATTTATTTATTTTATAATTATAATTAAGATGATGTAATTTTTATAAATTTGTGTTTCTATCTATAAATTAGTATAATCTAAACAATTTAAATTGATGCAGGTTCTGTTTGAAATACTCTGCTGCATATATTTGCTGATGAGAATATAATATTTAGACGGTGGGGGAAAAATCCCGGGATCCGGGACGCCCGGGATCGTATTTGATATAGAGGGAAAACTAATAAACTATATAAATTTGTGTCAATTATTGTCATAATGAAAGATGATTAAATGTTAAGTTTTTATTCTTTATTGTATGTCATGAACGTTAAATTAATTCAACTTAGGATATAAATATATTTAGAGCTATTTATTAACAAACTTAAAATGTGGTACTTTATACCGGGAGGTACTTTGTACCGGGAATGTCCAGATATTACAAACAATACTTACATAAAAAATTTCTTTTGTATGCAAGTGTTTTTCACATTAATTTCATACAAAATATAGCATTATTTGAAGAAAATTCAAAGTTATAATAACCCTATTCACATCACTGTGTAATAAGTGTAAAAACCAGTAATATTCCTAAAGATTTTGACCAAACATGATATTTTGAATGGATTACTGGAGGTTACGTACCATGGAGGATACGTACCAGGAGGATACGTACCATTTTTGGAGGTTACGTACCACTTATATATTTTGGAGGATACGTACCATATATATAATTTATATAAAATGGGTAAAATATGGTGAGGTTGCCAGTAGAAATTCTATTACTGCTATGATAGAGAAATATTGACTTATTACTTACAACATTATTTTTTTTGTCTATTATTTACTCTAAGTTTCATTAATTAAAACATATTTTCTGTTCTATATAATTTACAGAAAATTCAGTTTGTTACATTGTTTATGAATAAAATATTTGTTTCTGTTTTTCATTTGTTTATTTGTGAATACCACAACAAGTGAAAATTGTTTGTTTTATACACCTCTAAGAGAATGAATCACACGTTTATAAGAAAATCATTGATATCCTTATTAAATGTGTTGCATCCAAGTATACACTCATAAACTCCCAAACATCGAGTAAACATACACACAGTAACAATAACGATATTTGATATTAAAGGGCGTGGCTTATTATATCTTGTAGACTTGCTTACTACATCCTCCTCTATCTTTTAGTTTAGAACTCATCAATAAAATCAATAAATTTTAAATCATCAAAATTTAAATTTAAATGTGCCAAACATATTGTAATAAGAAATATTTTTTTCGGTATGAAATAAGCTATACAGCAAGTCTATTGTTATAAACTCTTCTCCTTTTCAGCAGAGTTCATTAACCCCAATGCGATTTACTCTAATCAGTGTACTGGGCATCTGCTTCAACGAAGTAATGATAAATATAATGTTATTGTTAATTGTCATATCTTTTTTCTATTTTTCGTAATGTCACAAAATATCAAGCAAATTACATTATTATCACAACATTTGTTCAAACAACTAGCATTGTTATCAAAAGAATGATGTTTTTTCTGTAACCAATTATAAGTTAATTTAATAAAAACCAAAAGTATTAATTTCACGAATTAACAGATTTGTTCTCACACACGTTATCATTTTTTCCTAAGATTAATGAATCCAGCAAAGCGGATATAAATGATACACTGCTATGACAGTCAGGGGTGCTAACTTAAACATTTTATCATTTTTTATAACCCATAGCCGTTATAAAATTTTTATCTGTTTACTAACAGGATCAACTTTGTAAATGTTTATTTTTATTCGTATATCTTCTCCGTTTTCATTGAAAAGTGACTGTATGTACACGTATATTGTAGAGTACCGATAAAAAATATATATATAATTATATAATTTATATAAAATACAAATAATATAGAGCATAACAATTATAAAAAAAGACCGAATTATAACTTTTAATATTACTTTTTAAAAATCACATAAGAGCAATTAATTTAAATGCAAACGTTTTACCTATATCTATGTATGATTATCACACATTCAGAAATGAGTAATCTAACAAATCACAAACAAATTGCAAACTATTGACATATGATTGAATACACTGATTTATAATTGCAAGTCTCCGGTTAGTACGTAATACTGATTTTTTTAAAATGAAATTTTGCGGCGATCAACTTTTACAGAAAGCATGCATGCATAATTTCTTTCTTAATAAGAAAACTTATTAATATTTAATTTCAGGTTGTTGACAACTCAATAAGAAGTAGACCACCTTTAAGTTCCAGCAATGTTACACGGCACTACGAGTGCTGTAGCTGGCATGATGGAAAGTCGAGCAACGGCTGGCACATATTTTTTAAAAATACTTGTTAATTGTGTATTGTTGTTTCATTTTCAGAGCGTGTAAACATAATTATTGTTATTTTCATTTTTATGCACAGTTTCAGTTAACGTGTAAATGAAACTAAATGTAATGTATAAATTGATAAAATATGTAACGCTTGTTTAGTTTTTTTTTATTCAAGGTAAGTAATTTTGTCCGGTTTATTAAACATGCATATGAAATATTATTATTGCTTTTGATTATTCTGTTTATTTCAGTTAATTTGAGAGTTAAATGCGTATAAATAAAACAATAATACTATAAATGAAAAAAAAAATGTTTTTTTTATATATTAGCTGTGGTTTGTTTCATTGTACTGTTCATTTCAGTTTAGTGCGTGTAATTATATTATTGTTATTAATTATTTTCAGTTTTGTGTTGTAAATAAAACTTGTTAATATCGTTAATTGCGGTTTGTTGTTTATTCTTATATATTCATACATATTTAATCTCATTACAAAATACAATTAATGCGCGAATTTGAACAATAAACGTGATATAGTTTCACACCTTATCCCTATTATTATCACTTTATTATATATTTCTATAGTGGTACGTAACCTCCAAAAATGGTACATTTATGCAGTGGTACGTAACCTCCATGGTACGTAACCTCCAAATTCCTTTGAATGTGTGTGTGCAATGCTTTTCAAATTGTTACCATTTTACTGTGTGCACGTGTGGTAACTGATAAATATTGAATAGAACTTTAGTATCATTAGGGGTGTCATCGATTCAATCGATATCGGTGTATCAACGATCTTTGTTATCCGATTCGATATCGATTCCATTTTTGAAATATCGGATATCGAATTCACATATATTTCTAGCTAAGGAGACTTCAGCAAACAGGTTTTATAGAACTGATAAACCTGTTTACTGTCGCTAAACGTCAAGAAAAAAGCGACATACAAAGTTTTGGGAGCCAGAAACATTTTTTTTCTAAAATGAAAACGGAAATCAATGCTAAAGTTACCTCCCAGTGTCTCTAACAAATGCTGCCTAATTTTGTTGTAATCTTGCACGTCTGCTAAGTGGATATTAAGACACCTCAATTCAGATTTTAAAAATGGAAAATGCCAAGAAAAATTTGTCAGTGTTTCTTTGTAAAAATAATGATTACAAAATGTTAAACTTTAATAATTATTTAAGTTCTAAACACTATAATTTGCCAATTAAACCCGGCTTAATTGGAACAGCAAGGACAGGATTTAGCATGATCAGTTACTACGTAATAGCAACAACAACTAAAGTAAAATGGAAAATGCTTTAAACTTTATAGTTACTAGTCATTAGTTTTCATTTATAGCTATGATAAAAAAAGAAACAAATTGTTCAGTTTTCATAGTTTATCTTTTTTGCATTTGTCTTAATATAACTGCTTTGTCAGTATCCTTAGGAAACATAGCTAAAATTTAGCCTGGCAATCGATATATCGCTGTATCGCCGATAATTCATTACCGATATATCGATACAAATATTCTTATCGATGACACCTCTAAGTATCATTAATAGTAATGGACCATTTACATATGTTTTTAACTTTTTATTGATTGCTTAAAAGTCATTCCTGGAATTAAGTACTTAAAAACAAAGATGGCTGCCACTCATATGAGGTTATTAACAGAACTATCTTTTTGATGTATAGTGAAAATTTCTTTTGGATGATTGTTATTTTTGTCAAAAAATGGTACCTTTTACAGAAAATAACTATTTTATCCTAGATTTTTTCTGTATTATATGATGGTGGGCCTAATAAGGCTTACACTTCCGATAGATAGTACAACCAGGATACTAACGGAAACGACTTATGTTCCCGGATAGGACTAAACCAGGATACTAGAGTCTCTAATGTATTTTCTTCCCAGGTCCGATCTACTCGTGATCGTGCCAGATAATTACCTTTCTCGGTTAATTTTTCCGGATTTTTTAGTTCGATATGGAGAGGGCAAATTGACTGAAACATGCCTCTGTAATACTAGTTTCTTTGAAGACTTCATGCGTTGTTAAATATGTATTTGCTGTTGTTGTTATTGTTGTTGACAGACGCTTGATAATTGCGGTTGCGGTTGAATACCGCTAAATATTTTCCTTCTCTTTGTCCGAATGAACATACTTACGGAGATAAACGGGGTGGGTGTGGGTTGGGGTGATGCGTATGGTAGGGAAGACGGGATGGCTTATGGTTTGTTACATTAAATGTCAAAGATTTTAGAAAGATAAAAAGAAAGATGTAGATATTAGATGTAGTCCGTGTCTATACCACAGGCACGAGTATCGGACCTGGGAAGAAAATATGACCACATTGATAAATCAAAGCACAGAAGGCGCTGAATTTGTTTGGGTCTCAGAATGTAAGAAAGGTGCAGGTTGTGAGATTATATGTATAGTGCCACCAATGCTTTCCAGCGTTTTAATTGTAGTAAATTGGCTATAAGACTTATTGCAACACTGATATTCAATCCAATGTTTATTTGACTTAAACAATTTGAAAAAAAAAATGAGTTGCCTTTACTGGGATTTGAACTCCAGACCTCTCGCTTCCTAGGCGAGCGCGAAAACCCTTCAGCCACGATGAATTTATATGTGAACGGCTTGAAGAAAACCATATTATTCTAAATTAGGGCTTGTAACGACTTTAACTGTTGTTTAACACAGATGTAAATAATCCTGGAGCATACTATAAGCATGAATATTTATAAATAGTCAAAGGGATGCAAGTTCTGTGGTATTTTCTGATCTTTGCAATCTTAATCGTACTGTATATTTGTATGCATTTTCCTGTATAAGTTTATTTTTATGAATTATAATTCATTTTGCAAGGCACCAGAGTTTGATACATACTGAATTCTGCATAACTAGAGATGCATCAAAAAATCATTTATGTTCATTTTTTACGACAGTCACACTTTATCCCTGCATATCATGGCTACTTCCTTAACAAAGACATTTAAAAAAGAATTTAAAAAAAAAGTTCCTCGACTTGGATTTGAACTCCAGACCTCTCACTCCTTAAGCGAGCGCGTTACCCCTGCACCACGGAGAAGTTATACAAATAATGTCTGAATAACATCAAGTCATTCTAGATTTAGAACTTCCATTGCATTTCGGGTTTGTAATCCTTATTAATTTCGAGGTATTTTGTTCAGGATAAACCTGTTGTTTAAAAGTAAATAATTTAGCGAAAATCTTCTCGCCCAAACAGTCCGACATGTAGAATCTATATATTCCACTACTCGGTTTGTGTAGTATTCGGTAATCGACATCGCTAAAAATAGTATTTTCATTGATAAAATCATATTCATCCGCGTAATTTGTGAATGTGCATTTATTGACAATTCTATTAGCCAACGCTATTTTTAAACTTTGAATGTGTTGTTATTTGTTGGATACTTGTAACAAAATAAAAATATTTCTTTCTTTTAAATCGCTAGTTTTAAGCTGTTTTGAGAACTACTTGTTGTTAGGTTTGTTGTGAACTTCTGTGTCAGAGATTGAATGTCCGCTTTGTATTTACTTATTTTCGATCAGAAAATACAATAAAACAATATTAGAAATCTTCGACCATTCGAGAATTATTTTGCTTGAAAATTAATTCGCCTGTCTTTGACCATCTTTACGCAGTGATCTCCCCTGAATTTTCGGCGTTAGTGTACATATAAAGGGAAGTAACCGCTTAAAAAAAGTGGACTACTTTCGGCGTTTGCAATTAACAGCATTAGACTCTGAAATTTCGCTACCATTATTTGTTTGGTCTGACGACCCAAACAAATAAAAAACCTCTGTGTTCATCTTAAATGTTAGAAAAGAAAAAAAAAAAGAAAAAAGAAAGTAAAATGAAATATGAGGCCCCCTTAAAATATACTGGAAACTGGAGATTCGAGTCTACGAGCAAGGGGTTAATTTCTCTGGACGTTGTGAAAACAATTGTCCATATATTTAAAAAAAACTTTATCACTATTTTACGTTCGTATTAAGCTTCCAAATGAGACCGAATGTAATTTAAGTCTCTAGCCATTCCCGTTCATTAAATATCTATCGGCAAACGAGCGCATCCGTGCTAAAATACCCCAGGTAGACAAAAAAAGTGGCACAACGATTCAGTACGTAAACATAGACTACTACATGTTTGTCAGCCGAGAACGGGTCAAAATCACTTGAATTTACTAAATGCATTAAATGGACCGTGCACAACCGTCAGTAGCATCTGATACACGCGAAATTCATAAATATACCAGGATATTTCAAAATTCTATTTGGAAGTCCCTGCAAATACATTACAACGGTGTGGTTATCGTAAATTTTCACGCACTTCGAATGAATACAATGGTCGACCATTTTGTATGTGGTAAGGTATCATTAATTAAGTTATGTGTTTATTTGTGTATATACATGTTTGCAAAAGGATGATATATACGAATGTCACTAGCAAAGAGATGTGATAGAGAATAATAAATTAAAGAAATGATTAATAGGCAAATCATATAAAAAATTATATGCAAAATAGTTCACTTTTATCTTTTTTTTCTCATTGCATATTTAATCTACTTATTACTCAAGTGATAACCATACTGTATGCGATCATAATCAAAACAGCTGATTGTATAATATGCCGTTACAAATGAAAGTTTTGTGCCTGTGTTTACTCAACTGATTATAACACAAATTAACAGGAGGAACATATTCCGTGATAATAGTAAAACATAAATATTTTTGCTTTCCGCAATTATGTAAAAAAATACTTATTTATTTTTATGAATAGGCCATATATCCCCCAAGTTTTTTTCTTACAACAGCTAAACAATGGATGCCCCGTCACTTGTTATACAATGATCCAGTAAACCATTTAAGTGTCACCCTCCCTGGCCTGTCTGATCACATGCATGGTCTAGTGCACTAGAAGTGCACATGGTGTGCACTTCTAGGTCAGCGCTAGTGCACTAGAAGTGCACAACGGTGGGACGTTTAGTGTGAACTCAACTGTATAATTACTAACGAGGTTGTTTATTTCTAAATTGCCATATATTGTTTTTAATGATAAATCCGCATTCAAATAAAGTTCGGATATCAAATGATTAAAATGTAGTTTCACGGTCTACTGAAAAGCATATAATAATGTCTATACCTTTGCTCTCATAATTATGACTTGTATACTATATTTCATTATGTCGGATTAATTTTGAAATATTTCACAAAGCGCGAAGATGGAGTGTCAACATATGAGAGCCTTTCTATTTATCACATTTAGTCATATTATATGGTTTCGGACATTACAATAACGTCAAGAATATCTTTGTACGTTGTATTTTGCTGTGGCTTGGGTCTGGGAAGACAATAGGTAGTTTAGAACAGAAACCAAAATTCTATATGTAATTCCCTGATGTCAGCAACGAGATTTCAGATCATATGCGTATACAAAACGAATTTTCTTTCCGTCGGAAATCACCGTCGTAACTCATGGGTACTAATTTCTGCTAACCACATTCATCATGCGAATAAAGTGTTCACGTAACGAGTATGCTACGTGATTCATGTAGTAGAATTAGAACAATATGTGTAGGTATAATTATGATAAATCAAATATATTTATTTCACATTTTACAAAATATAAACGATAACCTTCCAGTGTTTGTAGCCAATAGAAAATATTATTGGATATCCAATCTTATCAATTTAGCCTCGTTTCAATTCGCAGGGTCCGATATGAAATCTATATTAAATGCAAATCGTATCCAATATAACCTCGATTTTCAAAGTCCAAAAAAAAATCCATATAAAACCATTGCTGTGTCAATAAGTGATTGTGAGAAATAAACAGGTCATTATACATTGTTTTTGACACTATTGTTTGAACTAGGTATGACAGCTGTGTACTGGTCCAATATAATTCAGTATTGTATCATCAATGTATAATCACCATTCACCTCATAGCTAGTATCGCATTGAAAACATATCAGTTGGATAAATCCTTTTATTTGTGCATTATTTGATATATCTACGATAAAACAATCTTTTTAAATCACCGTCTTGAACTTTACAACTACATGTCATTTTCCAGCTCCTTTCCATATCAAAACAACAACAACAACAACAACAACAACAACAAAAATAAGAAAACCCCAACAGAAACCCGAACGCCCCGCCCAAATATTTTGTTCATTTCAATATTTATAAAAAAGTACACTTTAATTCATTATAGAACACACGATCACTAACATGAACTTTTTTATTTTATGAAATTTATTATCTTAAAACAAGTATGGAATTGTTCGTTTCAAACATCACTGAACAAACAGTTATTTTGAGATATGTTTGAGATATGAACTGGAAGAACACATTCTCTTCACGTAGAAAAACGCACCTGTGAAAAGTTGTCGGAATGAACATTCATTTCGAGCATGACTGACCAACAGATGGGCATAAATGATTTCATTTTATAGAAGACTGACTCGGAAAAATAAACAACTTTGAAATAATCTTTTACAAAACAACAACATTTATAACCATCAATATCAAAATACACAAAACAATTGCACTGTACAACGGCAATATCAAAGGGTTGTGCGTAGGTTAATATTTACGGGAGTTAATGTCGATTATCATCAATATAATAAGTGATATTATTTGTGGTCCGATGATTTGCCAATATTTTTTGTCAAAATAGAAATTAGGAATTGATATATGATATTGATAAGATAATATGAACTATTTATTTTTACTTTCTAAATAAAGTATGTGTTTTAAACGTAACGTTTTGAAATATATATGAAATGACATTTTTCTTACCTGCCAACGCCCCTGAATCAGGTTTGGAAAATGAATTGTGAAAAAATAAAATAAAGCAGAATAACACTATATTTAATTTATTAATCTACTGAAAATCACCATCCGTTGAACGTTTCTTTTCATTCTTGAATCGCACCCGAACATTTATAAAGGCCTTTAGATGGTTATTGGATGAATTGTAATTCACCCAATTATAATCAAAACAAATACTTATCAGGAAATCATTCGTGAAGAGACAAAATGTTATGCCAATAGCTCGACGAAATATAGGAAACAG